CCTGCTCTTGCAGCTTCACTGAGGTATCTCCATGAGGTGTGAAAATAATAAAAATGCAGTACATGAAGGTGTTTGTACAGGCTGAATTGCTGCTGCACACTGTGGGTTCCTTGTGCTCAGCGTGGGGATGAAGCCACAGAGACACCCAGTGATGGTCTTGGGAGAAGCTTCAGTTGGGGATGAAAGGGAAGAACAGACAGCACAACACTTCCAATATCTGTCAGTAAGGGCAATGTGAGAATCAGCCTAGGAATCACAGGAGCTGTGGCTCCAGCACAGGTGGAGTGACTGGCTCTGTTGGACCTACCTGGCATTTTGTACATCATCTTAATGCTCAACTTCCTTGACTAGCAGTTGAAGACCTGAATCACTCGATTCAAAGATATATATTTTTTCCTATTTATTGCAACTGTGTCATTCTCTGCCTTTTCACAGAAATATGTAACATTACAACTAGCCTTGTAACATTCTATTTTATCAATCATTTTAATTTTATGATTACTAGAACAGTATTAATTCTTAACTGTATAAAGATAGTCCAGGTGTAACACACAAAAAAAGGCTAAACAGAAAGTAGAGAAGAGTTTCTTCAGCAGAAGAGCTTCGAGAAAAGCAGATGACTCACTGTTACCCACAAACCAAACCTGGCTAATAATCCGTGGCAGCTTCACTCCTGTCTAGCAGTGATACTTAACTTTCACTGGCAACAAAAATACTGTAGAAAACACTTTCAAATGATGTTGAAAAATACAACGAAGAGTAACTTAGAGCAGCTTTTTCCATTTCAAGCAATGCCTATGAGCTTTTCAGAGAAAAATCCTGTTTCATACAGATAGAATTCGATTGGACCAGTGGAAAGAAGAGTTTAGTATCTCATGAGGTCCATCTAGTGGAGATGACAGTGAGCACAGGCTCGAAGAAACCAAACCAGAGGCTCAGAGAAATGAGAGAAGCATTAGTACACTTCAGTTTTACATCCTGTCAATTTTTCACTCTGAAAATAAACTTAGGGAAATGGTTAATCTCAGAAAGAACAAAGATCCATGAAGACGCTGTAGGGCAGACACACTGCATGGGCAACAGGGATTTGATAAAAGGAAATTTGTTAAGTATCACCAAAACTGGAGATAGTGCTGAGGTCCCAGGGAACTTCTACTGGGTAAGTATTTGGAAAACTGATTGGTGGGTTTGCAGCAAGTCCAATCAATGAGCCCTAAATAACAGCCAACAGCTGAAAATGATGAAAGCCATTCTGTTAGACTTCTAAAAAATAACAGACAATAATCATAGCAGCAACACATCACAGTAGCTGTATTCAGAACTGGCTGGAGTGAAGATAAACAGGACTTTGAGGGCTGTAGAACAAATGGTTTCAATAACATATGAAAATAAAACAGATTCAAAAATACCCCTGTAAGTGAAGGTTTCTGTGTTGATAACAAAACCAGTGTCAGTAATGCAGAAAGGAAACTGAGGAAAACCAGAAGAGTTCAGAGGGATAATGGAAGATAAGACAGGGAAGTGTGTCTGATCTTAAAGACAAGCAAAGAACAAAGTAAGAGGTATAATGGAATGTACAATAAGGTGTGAAGTTGTGAGAGCTCTTACCCCAAAACTGCTAAATGTGTTACTAAAGCAGCAACGACATCATTTGGTTAAAAAAGAAGACAGACAACATATACTTTTCTTGAATTGTTTAATACAACTACTTGCAACACAAGTGTTTACAGCTTTGTTTTCTCTTAGAAACTCCTACTCTAGTTCAACATCACAGACAAACAGGACTGAGATCAAACCAGGTGATTTGATCCCTAAATAATTTCTGACTGCATTCTGGGTCAGACCAAATGGGTATTCTGTACACACAGACCCAAAACACAGATCCAAAGTGAAAGTCAAAGTGATTTATCCTAGAGTCAGTTAAATAACCTATACAAGTTGCTAGAGACTTCTTCAAAAAGTTTAAAAGATGGGCTAAAAGGGAAAAAAATTACACGTTTCATTTTAGCAGATTTAGTAAAGAATTCCAAATCTCATAGATAAATGGAGAAATCTTAGCCAGAAAGATTTTTAGATCATTAAGGAAAATATGCTTCATTACAAGAGTTTGCTTGACTGTAAAAAACCAAAAAAAGGTGTCAAATTTTCCATTATAGAAGTGTTCATATTTGCCTCAAGTTGCAGGAAGGAATGTGACCAGCATCACTTCAGCACTGTGTCTTCTGCTTGGAAGAAGGTCTGCAGCCCCCTGCGAACATTGCACAGCTCCTCTTCTTGCTGTGCAGAAACCACCACACTTAGCACGTGTTCTCAATGAAAGAGATTTTATTTCCCTCTGGTAATGCTGGTGCACAGTATGCTGCTCTTAACACATTACAGGTGATACTTTCCTTTTCTGTGTTGACACTGAACATATAAGGGAGTTGGGATTGTTCAGCCTGGAGAAGAGGAGGCTCAGGGGACACCTTAGCACCCTCTGCAACTCCCTGACAGGAGGTTGGAGTCAGGTGGGGGTTGGTCTCTTCTCCCAGAAAACCAGCAGCAGGACAAGAGGGCACAGACTCAAGCTCTGCCAGGGGAGGGTTAGGTTGGATATTAGGAAGAGATTTTTCACAGAGAGAGTGATCAGACATTGGAATGTGCTGCCCAGGAAGGTGGTGGATTCACCATCCCTGGAGGTTTTCAAGCTGAGACTGGATGTGGCACTTAGTGCCATGGGCTAGTGACCACGGTAGGGTTGGACTGGATGATCCCGGAGGTCTTTTCCAGCCAGGTTGATTCCATAATATTAAGGCTCAGAACTAATCAGTATGTTCAGATCTACCTGTAGCTTTTCTCTCCCAGGTAAGGCTGGAAGTGTGGCATGTATAATACTTGGATTCTGACTGATTTTATTTTTGATAGGGGTATAGAAATTAAAATAAATTTAGCATTTTAAATTTAGTGTTCAAACAGTAAGAAAATCAATAAAAATGAGGAAAAGATAACTTATTTACCATTTCTTTTAGAAGCTTCTCCTGGAGTCCTTTTATGTCTTCTTTCATCAGGTGCATCTACAAAGAGAGACTGAATTGCAGCTTCTCTGCTCACAACTGGTAACAAATTCCCAAAACAATTACATCCCTAAATGGTTTATAACCAAGAGATGCAGATGCACATGCATCCACCTGCATATGGAAGGGGATGTGTGTTTTGAATTTGTTATTTCTTGGCTGAATTAACATCAGGAAACAAAGCCACAGAATCCAGAATAAATCTTGGTAACTGCACACAACTAATGGGTGAAAACTAGGCCTAAGACACTGAGCACTGCTACCTTAAAGTACATGTAATGATAATTAAAACCTGCAAAAATACTTTTGAATCATTAATATAATGCTGAGGATAAAGTACTTCTTCAAAAGAAAAAGTCACTACTGGTATCAGTTGGTAAAACTGAAGAATTATTAAAACGAAAAGGAAACAGAAGTCCATCATTACCTCTGAAGTGAAAACATGTTCTTCATATTCAACAGAATGGTAGATGTTCTTCTCAAATGAAGTTTTAAGCATCTCAATCCTAAAGAAATAAAAGGCAGTTTGAACAGCTTTGCTGTGTGTGAAATTCCCACTCAGCTCAGGAATGCAGCCCATTATTGGTAGTCTACTTGCACTCCAAAGCCTGGATGAGTATTACCATCATTGTTACTGTGGAACAGTCCCTTGGGTATGAGGAGAAACTTGGATGGAGAATAATTACATTTTTCCTGTAACATAAAATTTTAATCTGATTTTCTCATCTCCATCTCTATTTCATGGAAGAAATTGCATAGAGAACAGCACTTGGCCTGACTCCTGCCTCAAATGTATGGAGCACAAATCCCATCCCAGGATTGCTGAAGTCTACTAACCTCTGCTGCTCATTTTTCATGTATGTACCAAAACTTTGTGTGTGTTTTTTCCAAAAGGCCTGGAAAGAAAAATATTGATAGATGCTAATCAATGGGAACTGATATGCCAATATCTAACATGAACAAAGCAACCTCCAACCACAGGCTCAGCACAGAATGGGCAGGAGGTACAGTCACCACAGAAACAGGTAAAAACTAGCCCATTAAAGTACTGGTAAGTGTTTATTTTGGAGGAAAAACATATGGAATACATATAGGAAAAACATATAGGGATTCTAAGGGCATAGTGCATTAGCCAGTCCTAACACCTCAAATTCATTATTGGAGTTTGACCCAACTAAATAAAATGATAAAGGCTTTTAAAATCAAATGAATGAGCTAAAGTTAAAGATGACATGAATAATCTACGGATTTCATAATTATTTACTTTTCCCCAGAAGCAAGCAACTGAAATACAAACCGAGAATTCCTTTTCCATGTTTTTCAGGGACTGAGAATCCTTTTCAAATCTCTCCAGTTCCTCAGTGAGAGTGAAATGAAATTTGTCCAATTGCCTGATCCTGCCAAAACACAACAGGTCACTTTGGGATCTGTTTTGGGATGGTTTTGTTTGCATCCTAAGGCAGTTGTACAGGAGACCTTTCCTTACTGTCGTGGTTTAACCCCAGCAGCAGCCAAGAACCACACAGCCTCTCACTCACTCCCCCACCAACGGGATGGGGGAGCGAATCAGAAGGGTAAAAGCTACAAAAACTCATGGGTTGAGATAAAGACAGTTTAATAGAGAAAGCAAAAGCTGCACACACAAGCAAAGCAAAACAAGGAATTAATTCACTGCTTCCCACAGACAGGAGGTGTTCAGCCATCTCCAGGAGAGCAGGGCCCATCACGTGTAACGGTTCCTTGGGAAGACAGATGCCATCACTCCAGATGTCCCCCCTTCCTCCTTCTTCCTCCCACCTTATATCCTGAGCATGATGTCATATGGTATGGAATATCCCTTTGGTCAGGTTGGGTCACCTGTCCCAGCTGTGTCTCCTCCCAATCTCCCATGCATCCCCAACTTCCTTGCCAGCGTGGCAGTACGGAAAGCAGCAAAGGCCTTGACTCTGTGTAAGCTCTGCTCAGCAATAACAAAAACATCTCTGCATTATCAACTCTGTGTTCTGCACAAAACCCAAACATAGCCTCATACTAGCCTCTTTGAAGAAAGTTAACTCTACTCCAGCTCAAACCAGCACACTTACTGACCTGCATTCATGCAGTTGGTAACTCATTGTTTTCAGGTGCTGATGGGCAGCTCTTAGTGTTTGCTTGGTGAAGTTATCTATCTTCCTTGCACGGTTCTGGGAGGGTTTGAACAGGAAATTCAGATTATTTTCACTTTAGGAAAAAACCCTGTAATATGTTCAGGAGTGTAATTGCTTTGCATCCCAGCAAAACCCCTTTGAAATGCTCCCTCTGCCCTGTAAGGAAAAGCTTTCTGGTAATGCCATGTGAACAAACCTGGGGTTACGTTTGTGACATAATTCTACCTCACTCAATTACAAGTGCCTTATTTGAATTATATACTTCCTCAACATGGAAGAAGTACACGTGGGATGATTGATGTGTTCTCTGGATGATCTCTAAGGTTCATTCCAACCCCTTAACATTCTCTGACAAAAAAATGTCATTGGAGAGTTTGGTACATTAAGCAACTGAAAAAAGCTTAAAAGGAAATTCTGCCACTTCCTGATGTTCTATGCACATGGCTTAAAAAGACATGAAAAGAGCATATCATAGACTCATAGAATCATAGAATTTAAGGGTTGGAATGGACCTTACAGATCATCCAGCCCCAACCCCCTGCCCTGAGCAGGGACACCTCCTCACTAGATCAGGTTGCTCAAGGCTCATCCAGCCTGGTCTTGAACACCACCACGGTCAGGGCAGCCACCACATCCCTGGGCACCTAATTCTGTGGTGTAAGCCAAGCTGTCACCCACTGCACTTGTAGCCACACAACTGATATGGTATAGGAAGTGTCTTGCCTCAATTTTCTTAGTAAATTCTTTCTGGAGCTTCTGACGAATGCTCATAGTTGAACGCTGAGGATCCCAGAATTCCCCATCCCACATAGACAGCTCATTTACAGACCAGGCAGATACACTTTCAGACACTGGAAAGAAATACAAAAGAGATAATGTCAAATTCAGTATGAAAAAGTTCCTTCTCTGCAGTTACCACAGAGCTAGGACAGCTTTTTTGTGCATAAATTAACATCACCAATTTGATGGCTGATCCCAGTTTCCACTTCCACATAAATTTCCTGACTTTCTCTATTGATAGAGACCCTAAATATTTAGCATGTTTTGTTTCTTTTCTTTAACATGTAAAATGCTTTTCAATGGACTTATTTTTCCTTGTTAAAACTTTGGCATGTTGTTTTAAAACCTTTGCACAACTACAGTCACCTGTCACTCCATGACTAACCTGTGCAAGTAGCAGTATCATCTGTTTTAAATAACTTTTTGGGCTGTAGCCTTGATCTTCTGCTTTCTTTCTCTTTCTCTTTCCTTCTTTCGGCTTCCTCAGAGCTGCCTTCAGTGTCACTGTGGTATGTTCGTTTGAGAAGAGGTAAAGTTGGTCCTTTGGTCAACAGGAAAGCAAGGCTGAATTTTAGGGTGATTTAGAACATGGAGATGTGAGGATAAAGATTTTATTGACTCCTTGGAGTCAAACTCTTGGAGTGTCTTGGTTTTAAGACATGAGAATGATATAAAATTAGTAACCATTAATAATGTTGACAACAATACATGATTAAAAAACTTGAGCCATATTTTTATACCAAATAAAACACTTCTCTTAACCTTTATGGAGATACATGGAAAATCTTCTGCTTTAAATGAAGTGTTTGTACCTGACTCATTTAGGAGGGCACGAGGTTCTTCACTCCAAGACTGCACTTCACTCCCACTGGAAGCAGACAGTGGGGATGGGGATACACAGTTCTAGGAGAAAAGACACTGATTAGAAAGAAGAAAGGGCACTTAGCTTCCAAATGAAATCACTTTGAGAAGTCTCCATCAGAAATTCACATTTATGTTGTGAAAAATAATTTCTTTTCTATTGCAAGTCAGGGAGGAAATATTTACTCCCTGTTGTTTTTTAAAATATGAATTCTAACTGATCTTGTTGGGATGCAATTCTTTCATTGTATCCATACAATAAACAGTCCCCTCATTTATCTCAAATATATCAAAATTAACTGGTAGAATTTTCCAAGCAGGTCCCAAGTAAACATTGTATTCAGTGTTTAACACTGACAAAGATGCACCTTCCCTTAAGCCTCACTCCTGTAAGGTAGACAAAAGAGATGACAAGCTGCAGCTCTCCTCAAGAGCCCAGAACGGACTAACTTACCTCTTTACTCTTGGTGACAGGTTTAGTGGTGTCTTGGAGCTTTGCTTTAACAGAGAGTGTGTGTGAAAAGCAATGTTGGAAAGTTGACTCTTGACTGTTATTCCTTGTTTCCAGTACAGCTCCCTTGGCATGTTTTCCACTGTCAGTTTTATATGTTGTTAAGCTGAGCTACATATTAACACACACACACAAATCATTATTGAGAGGAGAAGTCCCTTAAACCTCACATCTGTCCAGCAGATAAATGGACAAAAAGCTTCAGTGCTTTTCTGAGGGGCAAAGAATTGAGTAACATACCTCCTCTTTATTTCTGGGGAGAGATTTGGTGAGATCCTGGAGCTTTGCTTTAACAGGTGTGTCTGAAAAGCCATGTTGGAAATGTGGCTCTTCGTTGTTTTTAGAGCTTTCTGATACAGCTCCCCTGCAATTCTTTCCACTGACAGTTTTGTATGTCTTCAAGGTGAGCTAGACATTAACAAAACAACCATTATTGGAAGGAGATGTCCAGAAGCACAAAGAGCTGAGTGGAGCAATCTCAGCTGAAACAGCTGTACAGAAATGTTACTTTTCTTACCAAAGATGCTTCGGTTAAAACTGGAGAGAAACTTCTTTTTCCAAATGTTAACCTTGTTGCCTCAGGTGACTGCTTTGCAGATATACTTGGAATACTCTTATTTTGTGGGCAGAAATGATTGGGAGAGATTCTTTCCTCAGAGTTTACCACCTCCCCATTTTCTGGGGTTGACTCCTGAAGACCAAGAGACCTCTCACTGGAAGTAGGTTCTGGAGTGACATCTCCTTCTGAGAGTCTTTCAGCACCTAGAAAATAGTTCCTTCACTGTCAGCATGAGGAGTGGAAGTTAAGAAATGTAAGGCAAACCCCCACATTGCTCACTGTTCCAGCTCTAGGTGTTTGCAAGGCTCAGAGCTGTGGAGTTTTACCTTAAGTGCTGGCACACAACTTGCCACACTTCAGCTTTTTACTCTCCCACTGCTTTAGCAGTTACCAGATTTGTTCCAACACTTACATATTGCACTTCTATATTATGCTGAGGTCAAATAACTGCTAAAAATTACCATCCTATAAAAGTGTTAGTGACATATTAACACACTTTCTTAAGTGACATGAAACACACAGAATTAGGGGAGATCTCTGATTTTAAAAGTATGAAATAAATGAACAATTGTACTGTTGTGATAATCCTCACTTAACCTCCAACTTTTGATTCAATATTGCTAGAAATGAAAAGGGAAAATACCTACATCTTATTGCCTCGGGAGATCCAGGACTCTCAGCTAAAGGTGTTTCCATCTCCTTTGGGTCTGCAGAATTCTTGGATTTGACAAGTACTTTCTGCACATAGTTATCTACTTGCTTTAGCTCCACAGACAGAGTCTGCAGTACCTTTTGCTGCCTATCCTTGTTTGCCCCATTCATGTATTTCTATTGAAACAGAAAAGTTACACAAACACTTTTGTAAACACAGGGAAATACACACACACATAAGCAGATAAAGAGTGTATGATTTGTAAGTGCTATTGACCAAGCAGAAGGTCCAAACTGGAATATCATTAGTTCTTAGCAGCTAAACATTCATTAAAAAATGGCCCTACTAAAAGTAATAAAATTAATTTCAACTTGACCATGTTGGACACTTAAAACTCAGGAGCACCGAGGACAAAAAGACGATGCTGAAAAATATGGCAGAGATGGATTTCTAACCATAAAATGCACCTGCATACCTGGAACTTTGATTTCTCCTCCTCAGAGGTGTATGGTGGAAAACGTCCTTCGCTCTCTGACTCAGAACTGGAAAGCTCTTTGTAATTTTTTGCCAGTGCTGCTCTTCGAGGCAGTTTCTTTCTGGTGCTTTGTTCTAATATTCCATCAGCCCTTGAGTTCTGTTGTTTACATTGGTTTATCTGTGGAAGAACAAAACCATCTTCAGTTTATATGACTGATTAATCAATATGTAAGAATAAAGGGCAGATAAGTTGGTTGAATTGCTTGGAATCCAGTATTTCAAGACATCTAAACCATCTTAACTTTGCCAGAGCTCAGAGTGTAACCCTCAGTCTGAGCACCTAGGAAGGGTAATTTTCATTGTAGACAGGGCACAGTGCAGTCAGGAATGTGAGAAGCAAACAAGTGAAAAAGCAAACTAAACACATGACTAAAGGAGACTAACTGATCTGAAACAGAACAAGACCAAGAGAAGGAACCAGGAGCCCTGAGGAGCAAATATTTAGGGGTTTCATTTGTTTGTTTGGGTTTTCTGTTGTTGTTGGGATACTTTTAAGTGTGGCTTATAAACATCTACAAGCACCTTCCATTAACATGTTCATAACCACTTACAATTTCTTCTACTCCCAACTTCAATGTGCTTAAAGCATTTTGGAATTAATATTCTTTCTGGACATGAGAACTTTCTTGCGTTTGCAATTTCAGTAGATTACACATACTCACATAAAGGAGCTATAATCTCAAAGGTATTTAATTTCAATTAAGCACATTAGACACCAGAAAACCCTTGTGGAAAGGCTAATGGCATATTCAGTGGCTGTTAAGCAGCAAATGGACCTAATCAATAATTTTAAGTAATAAAACTTACAAAGCTTGTGGAAAGGCTAATGGCATATTCAGCGGCTGTTAAACAGCAAATGGACCTAATCAATAATTTGAAGTAATAAAACTTACAAAAGCATTAGTGTGTGATAATCACTAACACACAGGTAGGATTATGCTTGAAATAACACCTAAATACTACACAGAAAGAGCACAGCACCTGAAAGAATAAACAGTATTTAACACATGACACAACAGGTTCTGTGGGGAATTAAGAGATTTTGAATATATATTACAACTCTAGTTGCAAATTTACATTTACCTTTTTCTTACTTGCATTTTTGCCTTTAGGTTTACCCACGTGGCAAACAGGGTCAGAGAATCTTACTTGCATTTTTGCCTTTAGGTTTATCCACATGGCAAACAGGGTCAGAGAACTTATCTGCTGTTACAACACAGAAAGGTTGAAAAATCAGCAAAATATTCAAATGTTTGGCATTAGGTTCAGCTGTAAAATCACAGAATCACTGCCATGCCCACAAACTTAGTGAATCACTAACTGCTTTCAGCCCACCACTTACAAAAGCCTTTTTTATTACTGACAGCCTCCACCTGCCCCACCCTCCAACAGTTTTCCACATTCAAATCCAGAGTTTATGGAAACTGACCTCTATAAAATTAGTACTGATCTGAAAATTCCTTATGCTTGGAAACAAGCAACAAAACCATGTCACTTGCAGCACAGCACATGACACACTGTGCAGCACTCTTAAGAAATTAGAAGAAGTTTCTTACTTTTGTCTGTGCTCATGTGCAGCACTCTTAAGAAATTAGAAGTTTCTTACTTTTGTCTGTGCTTATTTGTTTCCCTAATTTTTTATTTCTACTGTAATCAGTTATTTTGGGTTTAGCTTTCCTCTTTGATTCGTGGAGCCAGCTGATGTCTGTCTTGTGCTCTGTGTCTGTGTCACTGAAGAGATGCTTCTTGTCTTGATTGTTTCTAGTCTACAAATCCCAAAAAGTTCTTAGGTTACTGATTTATGTATTTTGCTTACAGAACTGGTATTTAAAGGCAGGAAGACAAGCTATACTGAGCCACAAAAATATGAGCCTTACTTTTTTCCTTCCTTTCTCTTCAGTGGTGGTTTTACTGACATTTGCATTCCTTAATTAGAGAAATAAAAAACACCTTTAAATGACACATTTACAAACACTTGCTCTCAATCTTTCTACTCCTCATGTGATATATGGATTAAGGATTCAAACAAATGTACCTGCTTTGGTTTACACATTATTTTGGGGATACCTGTTCACCTTAAACCCCAAAGGATGTGCTTATTTCCCAAGGCTCAGTAAGGAACAACTGGTCCCTTTGCAGGCTGATCACTAACCAAAACTCCCCTTTTATCCTGGAGTTTCTATCCCTGTGGTATTCCACGAGGAGAACTAAAGCTGTTTTCTTCATGAAATACATTCTTTCCCTTTTATCATCTTCCCCAAGGAAAATCATGAATCAGCCTAGGAGACCACAGCAATGTTTATAGCTTGAAAGAACAACACAGTCAAGATATTACTGTCATGCACAACAAATTCTCTGGATTTTCATACCAGCACTGGAGAGTGCAGATAGTGCTATTGATACTCAGCAGACTAGGACACAAGAGAACATCCTACCCTTTTTTTCTTGTCTCTGTATAAACATTCAGTTCAGTAACATGCATTTCTTGGACCTAAAAATGTAAACAAATAAGAAATAAATGAAGGTTTTCATTTGCTGTACAATTTGAACAAAACCAAACAGGCCACCAGACAGCAACAGCTAAGAGCTTTTTTTTCCTCAGTTCTAATACTCAGCAATTAACTGTAATTAATATCTATTTTCGAGCTTATTGAACAGAGTTGATAGTTAAAACCAACTGGAACTGAGTGAAACTTTCAGTGTCTCAAATCAATCCATCAGTTCCCAGCCCTCCCCCAGTCCAGCAGCTCCTCTGGGTAACAATTAACTACCTTCTGTTGTCCTTTGCTGTTGTGGGCATTAGATTTGGTTTTTACTCAAACATTAGGACAAAGATGTCTTTAAAATGGGAATGGGAAGGATGGCAATAGGATAAGTTAAAAATAAATGATACTCCTAACAAATTGTTTTATTCTTAATTGAGGAAAATCATCCTAATAGCTTGAAGTGGCCAGAACTAAGGACAGTGTACATTGTTACACATCTGAAAGTGATGGAGCTATTTACATGGCAAACTTTTCCCCCACTTAGTTTAGTGCTATAACTTGAATTTTCAGGTCATAATTTGATTCTCTCCTTTCTATTCTATTCATAACATATCAGTTTTAGTGATTCTTACTCCAAGCTTTATTGTAGGTTCATCAAGGCCACTGATGTTAAAGCTGTAGACATCATCCCTGTCAAACAGACACAAATCAGATGTGTGACTGAATTACTCCACATTTCCCAGGCAGGTATGGGGAATCAGAAGTTGTGTTTGCAATACTGTAACCACTCACATGATACGCCCAGAACTTATATTAAGAAAAGAAGTGGTTTTCAGGTTTCTGTCCTGAACTTCTCCCTGTACAGAAATGAAATGTTAGCTCCTGTGTCATATTTGGACAATGCATTCATACACTGTCATCTCACAAAGTCCTTCATCAGGAAGATGATCACATTGATTAGCAACAGGACAATATGGCAAAAGAGCTAGGAGGAACTAAATCTTCTAGAATTTATCATTTAAGGGTATCAAGAAAACCTTGGAATTCCTCCTTCTCCCCAAATTGCTGTGTCCTGGCTGCATCCCCTTTATGGATCCCATAATCCCATTTAAGACACTATTTTTATTCTAAACACTTAGCACTGCCATGTTCAAAAGGAACAGATTAAATACATAATATGCAAACAGAGATTAATTTGGGTGTCACTACCTAATAGTTACCTGTATAAATATTATTCCACGTAAGTATTGCATCATTAATATGAATATCTACAAATGCTTAACATCCAATGGTATTTGTGAATTTTCCCTTGGCACCTATGGCTACCACATATATGTACAGAGGTCTGATACGAAAAACATCCCCAACAGCAGCAACAATATGTTACCTTAGAGTGCCAGGATTTATTTAAATGTGCCCTAAAAATAAAGATACACTTTGTTAAATGTTGATTAGAATATCTGCACTAGCACACTGCCCAGAGAAATAAAAGCCTTATCAAACCCCAATGTAGTCATGCATTTAAAGACCACAGAAAGATTAAAAGGATTCAAAGAGCTCAGCCCCTTTCACCCATCAGAGTTCATCAGCACAGCACAGAAAGAATCAGCACAGCAGTGAACAGTTCACATCATACCTGTTACACCCCAGGGAGTCTCTTGCTTTGCTTTTCTCATCGTTCTTGTTTCTGTATCTGTCACTGATTTTACTGATCAGTGATTTGGCTGCATCTGTGTTTTCTTTAGACTTTGCCTTCTATAAAAATAGGTCAAGACTCAACTTTGAATACATTCAACAAAGCAAAACCCAGAATTTAATTCCTAACAACCCTCTAAACTTTGCTAAATGTACCCTAGATGTACTAAATCACATTCCTATGAAAACCCTTTTCCCTTGCATTGCCCAAACTGAGCAATGAAACTCGAGTTTAGCAGAAACTTTCTTTTACATGTGGTGGGTTTGGGTACTGTAACATTCAAAAGACAGTAAAGAAGTACATGAGAAGCACAAGTTGGTACTTACTTAAGAACTGATTTTTAAATGATCGTTATAAAAAAAGAATTTCAGAATATGCTAAACATGTCACTGAAAGTGAGAAGTGAAGGTGACATTATTTGACTGGTTTGGTATTAGTGGAAAATCAGTTAAAAAGAAGTTTGTGACTAAATGGCAGTAAAAACACCAATTGTGAACCACTGAAAATTTGACAATTCTCTTCATTGTAAGTGGAAGAAAGGAAGGTAAGAAACTCTCACTGTCTTTGCTTCTTTCACATTTGCAGTGTCTTTTCTGAGGAGAACATCAGGTTCCTCTCTTGCAAGCTCAGAATGCAAAGATGTGTCAGACACTCTAGCTGAAAGGAAGGTTTCAAACCATATCTCAGTAGTAGTTTATTAAACATTTTTTCCTTCTGTGCTTAGCAGTTTCTGTTCCAAACAATTATCACTCTGACTGTCCACTAAGTATGGGATCAATTTAATTATTAATCTAATGTTCTCCTCTCTATCTTGTTTATTTGGAGAGAGACTTCAAAAAGCTGAACAAATGCTTTTTGCTTCACAGCTCTTTCACTAACAATAGAAAGCAATACAGGAAAAAAAGCACAGCTGTAAGTTAACATGTATCTGATAGAATCATAGAATCAACTGGGTTGGAAAAGACCTCCAAGATCATCCAGTCCAACCCTACCATGGTCACTAGACCATGGCACTAAATGCCACATCCAGTCTCATCTTGAAAACCTCCAGGGATGGTGACTCCACCACCTCTATCTATTTTTAAGAGCAGCAGCTAACCAAGTGTGAACACAACATGGGTACTCCACCACCTCTATCTATTTTTAAGAGTAGCAGCTAACCAAGAGTGAACACAACGTGGGTGGGACCTACGTGCCAAAGATGGATTCAGCTTTTGCTTGCCCTCAGCCATTGCATTCCCCCCAGGAACGGAGCAGGTTCTTTTTTTCCAGGTTTCCATTTTATCCAAAGAACTCTCCAAAAGCCCAGACAGCCTAGCAGAGACAACACCACATTATAGTCAGGGAATTGCAGAAAGTGAGTCACAACTGTAACAAACGTGCATCAAAAAAATGGGAAAATAATGATATCTTACAGATACTAAAGTGTTTTACATTTCAGTTCTGTTAATGCTTTAAAATATTCACTTCAAAGTGAGTGACAACACTGACTTAGAATTCTTTACTTACAAAGGTTTGCTGCTTCTCCCAAATGGCTGAGAATCAGGAACAATATCTAACACTTCATCTAAATAAGACATTAATTTGGTGTCAATGATTGTGGCAAAAGAATTGGGCAAAATTAAAATCATTTGAGAAGCAAGGACTAGCAAAGCTTGTGAAATTACTTGCCTAAAGTTTGCTTTTCTGTGGCCTCAACATTTGCCTCTTGGATCATTTTTAGAGCTCCTTCAGCACACACTTTCTGCAGTGGAAAAACACCCAAAAGGCAGTATTAGCTTAGGGCATAGAGAGTAAAACCTTATAAACTTGTGTTTTCCCTAACAAAACATGCAATTATTGCTTTCATTTCAGGGCAGTGCTGTTCCAGTACCTTTTCATGTATTTTTGCCTCATTTCTGGTATTTGACATCCTTCTCTGTTCTGCTTCACACAATTCATTGTCTACTGTGCATCTTTGCCCACTCTAAAAACACAGGAAGTAACACTGACAATTGGAGTCCTTAAAAGCCAAAGAAGTAAAATTCTCCTAGAAATTAACACTTGAAATATTCTGAACAAAACATTCTATATGTTAAAGTCCTTTTCTAGCATGGCTACATCAAGAAATGCTTCACAATCCCACAGGCTGGGGCTTGGCCTGAATCTGACCCAGAAAGATATTTAGAACCAGAAATAAAATAAAAATGTTCCTCTCCAGTCTTTGTTCAACTGGATCAGAAGCAAAAATACTCAAAAATATACTTAAACTGTAGTTCAGGGACACCTCTGTAGTTTTGCCTGGCTGATCAAAACTGTACTAAAACTAGTGCTGTAAGTGCTATAACCTGAGAACATTAACATTTATAACATGTGTTAACATGAACATTTCAGAGCCAGGGCTGAGTGGGTTAGATGCTTTATGAGCATTTCAAGCTGCAGAATCAATTCTGGGCACACATTTTTTACCTGTTATACACAAAGAAAGTTATACACAAAAAAAAATTACCTGTTATACACAAAGAAAGTTATAGACAAAAAAACCCCCTTCCTTTTTCTAGCCAAAGGAAGTTAATTCTGAGGTCAGAACTGAGGAGTGAATGCAGTAAGAGTTCAGTCTGGACTTTAGACATATTAAACCTGAAATCCAGAGGACAAGAAAACATGATGCAGTGAAGTTTTCTCACAGTGAATTGTTGACTGTAGAACTCAACTCTTTACAATATGAATTAGGAACAAGTTAGAATAGAAATGAATGTTATTCGAGGTTAAAGACTTAGCTACAGGTGACATGCATACTCCAGGAGGTTTCTGATGGAAATTCGTTGTCCCAGTCTTACTTACTGCACCACTGTCAGATTTTTTGGCAGAGCTTGTCATTTCCAAAGGCAATTTAAACCTCCCTTTAAAAGGAGTGGCTGAAAGAAACCAGAGACATGTTACAATTCCACCATTTCTTCCATTACAATTCCTGTGCTGTGGCTTTTGCCCATGATCACATCTAACCCATAAACTCCAAAAAGAGTTGGTTAGCAGTGACACCAACCCATTCTTTGCCTTTTATAAGTCTAGTGATTTCAGCTATGTTAGGTGGAGGTTCAGAGCCCACAGACTGTGGATGTCTGGAGGCAATGGCAAAGCTTGTTATGGTCTGGTTCTGGTACAAAATAGTTGGCCACTATTTAAAGAGAGCACTGTAATATACTTCTGCTGTGTTCTAAGCTCACTCCAGCACAAACAGCTGCAGTGTTTTTTTTGCCTCTGGGAACACATGTGCAGCCACAATCCCATATCATATGGGCCAGGAGCAAGTGGCCTAGTTTACAAATTCTAAGTTTCAAGCACCTGCTAGAGAGATTTTCTAAGGTTTACTTTCTATTTCCAGCTCTGCCAAGGATCACAGTTCAGACATGAATAGTATAGTTTTACCCTGAAAGTCCTTGCAAACTTACATGTACTAACAAATGACAGTGGACTCCTTGTGGAAGTTCTTGTGGTCCCAGGAATAATCACAGATGCTTCAGACACTTTCCTTGTCCGAGATGGAGTTATCTTGAGGAACAGAAAGAACTTGACTATAAAACACAGATTTAAGGATGACAACACAAGATTCTAGAAAGTCTATTGATACTTTGTGTTATTGGAATGTCAACTGCAGTTGCCACGGACATCAGTGTTAGAGTTATACATTGTTATGGTCTCCAAATACTAACGAGAAATGTTTTTGCAAAAGGATTTCTATATTTAGTGCCAAGTCATAAGAAAAACAATCATTGTATTAACTATATTCCAACTGTACAATAAGAAGGGATTAATATTATTAAATATGATAAACATTTTAATTGCTGTGTATTTTTTATGTATTGTTTGGTTTGGTTTGCTGCTTACCTTGGAAGAATCATCTCTGGGTTTTTCTTGATTGTTGTTTTTATTCTGAGTCCCCAAACTTCCAGGAAGTTGCTGAGTTTTGTGCTTACTGAGTTTCTCCTCCCCTTCATATTTTCCTTCCAAACCTGGTGACAACTGACTTTCTGGTACTAGAACCTATAAAATATTTTAGATTTTTTTTTTTTAACTTATAGACAATATTTGGATTATATTTTATGTTTATCACACACAGAGAGAAACTTCTTCACCCTAACACATTCCTCACTGTATATTTTGATAAACTTCAGAGCTTAGAAACTTTTAGCTTGAAACTTCTCCAAGCTAACTGCTATTTTCCCTACCAAGGATGGGTTACCAGCTCAGAATTCACACAAAAGAACTTCCCCTGTGCAGATCTGTCTGATTTATTCTATGATTTGGATATTAATATCTCCCCCAAGATACAACACATACTTACTAGAATACTCTTGCTTGGCTTCAGACTTAGTTATAAACATTTTTAAAGTCTTTGTTTTTACTGTGAGTGATTATAAATTGGCAAATAATCAGACTAAATACACAAACCCAAGAAACAAACGATCTCAGGATCCTGAAGTGAAATACCTGTGATCCACTTTCATCAAAGACAACATGTACAGTTGTTTTGGCAACTGATGCAGATTGCTTCTTCTCAAAGCCCTACAAAGGGAAGAACCATCTGTGTAAAAATAGACACTTTGCACTTCTTTTGAACAAGAAACAGAAAATATTTAAGTGAGATCATAAGTGTCTGAAATCAGATTAGAGAAGAAAACAGATTCTGTAAATTCACAGCAGTTCCATTCCTCATGAGTTCCTCAGTCAGTCAGACTTTGGGCAAAGCAGTTTGTTACAGTCAGTAAGGACTAAGCTGTGGCTTTACCACATTCATGAGTGGTAAGTGCAGTGCAAAACAGGATAGCAATGGATCATTTCTGAAGGGCTTCCCTATTTGTAAGCATCCAGGTCTTGTGTTGCTGGAGAATTCCACATGCAAAATCTGACATTAAGATATGATGATTCCTATCCAGACAGTTAATTTCTGTGGTGATTCATTTTAAGTCTGACAATCACAGAACCATTTAAGATGATCAAGGCCACTACTAACCCATGTGCCCAAGTGCCACAGCCACATGCCCTTTCAATAACCCCAGGACAGCCTGTGCCAGGGCTGGACAACCCTTTCCATGACCAAGTTGTCCTAATATCCAACCCTGGTGCACCTTCAGGCCCTTTCCTCTTGTCCTTATTAGGCATCTTTACCAAAGCTGGACATGTGATGCTGCTCTGTAGCAGTGATGCCAATCAGAAACTCTTGGTATAAACAGACAGGAATAATCACAGCTCTGACAACTTTTACGTAGCACTAAGACATTTATTTCTAATCAAAAAGGTGTTTAAATCTTACCTTACATTTACTTGATCCATAAATCTTTCTGGTTACATCTTTGATTTCCAAGATAGAATCAAAATACAACAAAACCTTCTCTCCTTCCAGATTACCCACATTCATTGGGTTTCTTAGATCTACTGTTAATAATTTCTTTCCATCTTTTTCTGGCCAAACACAGAATTTAAAAATTAGCTTCATGACAGAGTAACAACATCTCCCATCATGTTTGTAAATACATGACACTTTTGATCTTCAGTTCAGCTATTAAGATATGTATTTTATTCAACTCACTTTAACCTACAGTAAATTTTATGAGTGAAACAATTCAAGATTCAAACTTTAGAAATACATATTCTCTATATAATTGTACAGAATTTTCTTGGAAGGTTATTCACTCCAGCTGTAGGAAAATTACAGCCATTGACTATTCTAACTATTTTAAAAGGAGTGTTATTAAATGTCACTGTCTTATGCCTTAGTCTGCATTGAAATAACTAAGACAGCACTTTAGGATTAACCAGTTTGAAAATCCAAGTCAGTGTGTAACAAAAGGTCACATTTTTGAAATACCTTCAAGTTTGTACATGTCCACTTCCTCTTCTGGTATAATGACTGTTTCCCACTGTAGACCCTTAGATGAAAAAATACACTTTTAAACACAGAAAAGCACTGTATTACAACTAATGAAATGCAGTGATCAGAGTAATTCTGTGAGGATAAATTTCAACTTTTAAGTCTCTGCTGCAAGGAATGAAAATGAACATATGCTTCACTATTGCTCACGTGTGCATGTGTCAAACTATTCCCAAACAGCACTACAAAATCATTACTTGGAAATTATTTGATCTCAATCTGCACATCACATCTGGATTTTCCCCCCTCCATACACATCACATCACTTCAGTGTGTTGGTGAGGGGAAACAAATGTGATACCCTTGAAAGGATGTGTATCTACTGCCCCACACCAACACAGTATGAGACAAACATCAGCTTACTGCATCATCTGCTGCCACATAGAAAGAGATACTTCTGCTTCCAACATTGAAATCAATCCAAAATTCTTCCAGGTTTTCATCCAATGGTATCTGCAGCTAAACCAAGACAAGATAAAAGAGCTGAGATTTCTACCAGCTCACAAGCTTTGTGTGGTCTGACAAACTTTCATTACAATCCCACCCATTTACTTCTGAGAAAAACAAAATATTCTTACTTCAGCCTTATGTTTTCTTAACTAGAAAGCAGAGAGACTTACCTCGTGTTTGTCAAGAGCTGCTGATAAACAGGGGAATGTAAAAACCCTGCAAGAAAAGGACATTGTTTCAAGTATCCTGCAGTGCTGTAACACAGCAACTGGATTGTGTTTTCAGCACAAAACTTGTGGGTTTGGAGACTAAGAGGTCCCAGCAATCAGTCACTTCTTCCCCAGAGGAGGTAACACGAAATTTAACCACAGCAAAAAAATACATTAGCTTTAAAAAACCATTCTTACCTTCTTTTGTCTCCGAGCATGCCATTCACCTGGTTAAGAAACTTTCTGCAATCCTGTTAAAACACAGAAATTCCTTACAGAACTGTGAAATGGAAGTTTACCTCCCGGGAAATATTTTACATCTGACTTACTGTTTCAAACTCAGAATCTTTAATTCCTTTGAAGGCATTGGACACAAACTCCATGGAAAACCACTGGCATGCCAGTTCTCCTCTTTGCTTCTCTGACACCATTCTGCATAAAGCTTCTGTAATGGCTACTTGCAGGTCATAGTCTACAGCACAAAACACATTTCATAGGAGTAGCAGATTTAAAGGGACTAAGGAGATGAAAAAAATATGATGAGGAAACTGATATAAGCAGTGCTGAACATTTCATAACCTGTATCACATTATATCTAAATCCATTAAGGATATCCAGATAATAAAGTAAGGAAATAAAGAAGTCTAAACAACTTCTGTTTCACAATGAAATTTCAACCAAGCTTTCAAGGGCTGTCAGAGCCACACCAGGTAGATAAGAAAGAGAGAGAAGTTCTCTGCTTCCACCTGTCTGAACTGGAAAATAGCTGCACAACAAAGTGATCCCTGAGAGCAGTCACAGTACTACCACACAGGGTTAGCAGTTCACTAGCCTCAAAGATTGACTTCCTTATCATCTTTTGCTATGTTAAAACTTACATTCTAGAGAACTGGAAACTTCAATGTGTTACCCATACACTGAGCACCCCTGAAACATTCCAGTTTGCAGATTGTTTTCAGGCAGTATTTGTATTTTACAGATAATCACAATATTCTGCAGCTTCTACATGCCCTCTCTGGAATTTTAATGGGTTTGTATCTAACTGAGTATTAAGCTTCTTAAAAACTAAGCCTCATGCTCACCTCCAGCATCCAAAATTCTCCTCCCCATTTCACTCCTGCCAAACAAAGCAACAGGTCATCAGCACAGAGGGCAGAGTAAAGGTTTAATTACAAGATTTCAGTGCATAAGATTAAACCCTGATTCCACTGAACCTTAAGACTTCCAAGGGGTAAATCTGCTATGCTAAAGATGTACGTCTCAAGTGCTACTGAGGGGGTGAAGCACCTGATAGATACAGTTTTTATTCTGTTTGTTTTTTTGGAGTGCTGTAAAACAATTTCCCAATGAATCATAGAATCAGCTGGGTTGGAAAAGACCTCCAAGATCATCCAGTCCAACCCTACCGTGGTCACTAGACCATGGTACTAAGTGCCACATCCAGTCTCAGCTTGAAAACCTCCAGGGATGGGGAATCCACCACCTCCCTGGGCAGCACATTCCAATGCCTGAGCACTCTCTCTGGAAAAAATATCTTCCTATATCCAACCTAACCCTCCCCTGGCAGAGCTTGAGTCTGTGCCCTCTTGTCCTGCTGCTGGTTGCCTGGGAGAAGAGACCAACCCCCACCTGACTCCAACCTCCTGTCAGGGAGTTGCAGAGGGTGATAAGGTCTCCCCTGAGCCTCTTCTCCAGGCTGAACACCCCCAGCTCCCTCAGCCTCTCCTCATGGCACTTGTGCTCCAGTCCCTTCACCAGCCTCGTTGCTCTTCTCTGGACCTGCTCTAGCACCTCAGTATCCCCCCTGACCTGAGGAGCAAAACAGCCTCTCCTTCCAGGGATCAGATCACTGTGCTTTACACAGAATTAGTTTATGCTAAATGGGCTGGGAAGCCTGACCCAGTCTGGGAAAGAGGAAAATTTAGGCTGGTGATGGAGAGTAACCCCAGAGAATACTTGCCCACAGCCACTTCCACTGGCAGCCCAATAACAAATGCAAAAGTGAGCTAAACAGGGACCAATCTGAACACACTAGAAACAGTCTTAGTAAAAATTTCCTTCCAGCTCTGCAAATGATGTGATGATATAAAAATTATACTATAGATTATTTACATGACAAGCAACATCTCCTTTGTAGAAAAGATATTTTTCCTGGCATCTCGAGGCATGTTGTTAAGCATTAAATTCAGTTTTCTTACTACCTAAGAAGAGTGGGAAAAAGAGAGTAAGAATAAATAAAAAAAAAAATTTTGTTAAACTTTCAGTCATTCTTATTTTGGGCCCTTGCATGACAAGCCTCTCCTTTGGGGCTGTAGCCTTTACAGGAGACCTTCTTGTACCTTTCCCTTTCTTTAGAGAGGAAAAAAGACCTGACAGCCTGAGGTTACTACACAAACAGAAGAAATTTGGAGTGTACTAGAAGGTATGCAAATTTCGTGCAAGTAGCTAAAGAATTTACAACCAAAAATCTTATCCTATTTACAGCAGTTGTAACACAGGATATTATTTTCATACAGCTTTCTCCCCAGAGGCTCAGTATCACTCTTTGTCACAGAGGTCAGTAAACTGCAAAAAGCCCCAACATATAAACAACAACAATCATTCCAGAGGAACATTAAGTAATTCTTCTGACACTAGAGCACTCAAGAGCCTCTTTTTTTGTAGCATCTGTACAGTTCATTACTTTCTTCACAAAGTCTGTTAAACACTAACCAGAAAACTGCTGCTTAGGAAGAAGAATATTTACCTCCTGCTGGACATAAATATTAATTCTTCCATCTGTGATGAGGGAACATGTTCTAGGAACAAAGTTTTCCAGCATTTGCATTTTACCTAATAAACAGGAAAAATACAAATTAAAGAGCTGTTGAGAGTGTATTAGGGTTCTCTTTCATAAGCATTAGGGAAGAGATTTATTTTCATTTAGAAATCAAATATAATATGCCTTTCTGTCCATATAGGATTACTGATAAAGAAGCATCTTAAGCATCACAGTGAAATGTAAGACAGAACAGTTACTTCAGTTCATAGTAAATATGGCTCTGTGTGGTGTTTCCATTCCTGTGCATCACTGCATGAGTCATTCACTTAAAAATATCATTGGAGCAATCCTACAATTTAGCTCTCCAGTGTTGGAATTTCTCTTCCCAGGGACAAGGAAATGAATCTTTTGATCCTGACAACATAATGGTCCATAGTGACTTTCTACCTAGTGCAAAGTAAGAGCAGTGTCACAGCCATGATGACAAAGTCAGCAAAGAAGGGTCACTGTGCACTGCTGAGCTGTGACAGTGACAAAGTCAGCAAAGAAGGGTCACTGGGCTCTGCTGAGATGTGACAACAGTGTAGAAACAACTTTTTTAGGAAAAGCTCAGCTCAGTTGCCATCTCTGAGGAGATCAGACTGTCCTGCTTTTTTACTACTGACATCAGCAACTTACAAGGAAATCTGTCAGTAGAGAAACCTCAAATTAAACAGTTAGAGCTGACACTCAAATTCTTTGACATGAATGGGAAACGTGGGCCTTGGTGTGCAGAATAGCTCTCCTGGGGATGTCTTTTCTGTCACAGTTTATTAGCTGAAGCATTTAGACCTGGTGCTATATTTAAACTGAATCAAGACACTTGGTACCACCCACATGTTCTCCTCACAACTCCCTCGCCTCAGGTGGCTCCTCGAGGAAAAAAGTGATTTTAACACTGATAAAGTGTTAAAGAGACATTTGAAACTATCATTATCTCATGTATGTGTTTTTTAGGCTCACCTTCAGGTCTGCCATCATACAGAGCCTGCAATAAAAACCAAAACAAAACACATCAGTTAGACACGGCAAATATTACAGCATAAAAATCAGGCAACATGTACCTGGAGGACACAACCAAAAAGCATTTAAGACTTGGCAATGATTTCATCCTCAACCAAGAATGTAAGAGATGATTTCTACTACCAAGTGTGGTTATATTTCAGCCAAACTGACTGACATTATTTCACCAATGGCAACAATTTTTATGAAAAGAAGAAAACTCACAGATCTTGTAAACTTGGGGCCCTGGGATTAGCACACCAAGGATTTCTGTCATCCAAATTTGAGCAAGATTAACTTTTTTGTTCACTGAACACTTAACATTGTTGGGTTTTTACCTTTTACTTCATGATGCCAAGCAGGAACAGAAAACAAGGGTGACAACAGGCAAACTGCTCACCCCAAAAGACTTAAAATCTATTTCAGAAATCACTGTAGCATTAACTTTAGAAAGATACACTAGAAACACAAATAACAATTATTTTGACAAATTTTATTATCAACATATTTTTACCAGCAACATGTTGAAGAAATCTTCAGCCAGACCTGTAAGCATTTCATCCTTTTCATTTCCTCTGAGGATCAAAATCCCTTTTACCTTTTCAAACCAATTGACCATGTAAAGGGAAAAGAAAAGAAAATCTATTTTAATAGCTTGGAAAAGGACAATACTTTGTATTATACTTAAGTAAACTATATAAACTGTACAAAATACCAACAATACCCATCTGCAGAGCACACTTGAGTTTAGTTTAGACAACTGAAAGTTGTCACTCAGACTAAACAAAATTAGGGGATTTCAAACTGAGGAAGCAATTTCTGTAGCTGATTGTCCAACACAAAAAAACAGAGATCTACTTTGGCATCTGCCATCACAGACAAAAGAGCTGAAAATGGATCATGGCTGAGTGAGTGTTGCTTGTAGGTGTGAACATAAGCATAAAGTTATCCCCACACTGTTGGTTCTTTGATTATTAAAGCAGTGAGAAGGTGATGGAGTAACACTCATCTGACACTCTCTTCAGTGAAATCTCTGGTGAAAGCAACAAGGAAGTGATGTCTATTGTTCAGTATGTTTACTGAGTTACAAATCATTAATGCAGGTTGAAATACACAACCAGAATAGCACTAAAGTCTGTTGGAAGAGCAGGTGCAACATCACTGCTGTATGGACAAAACTAAATGGCACCAGGAAACTCTGAGTCCCGACCCAAAGTATAGCAAACTACAAAACCAAACCCAGAAAGATACCACCTTGTAATTGGAATTATATCTAAAATAATTATATATTACTTAATTTGCAAACCCCTCAGTGTGGCAGAGCAGCATCACTAGGTCATTTGACACAGAATGTCAACAATACTTGTTGCAAAGTTGTGGGAAATTCTTAACTCTGAAACAATCAAGGAACACAGCAAACACTGAGTGCAGCATTATTGATGCATTTTACTACTTTGTAGGTAAGTATTTATTTAGGAGTTCACATATGCTTTCTGGTTTTACTTATCCTTCCAACAAGACCATATTTCATCAGTGCTGGCAGCCCATCTTCTCCTGCTATGCTGATTTTCCCCCCACATTTCTGAACAGCATTAAATAAAGCAGAAATGCTTCTGACTTCTTGCTTGTCAAGCTCCTGCAATCAAAATTACAACATAAGCTTTAGTGGACAGTTCTAAAACGAACCATAGTGAATTAGCTCTTTTTTTTTTTTTGTCCCCAAAAGCCTTAATTGCAGCTTGAAGGAGACATTTCACTCCTGAACTTTATTTCAGGCTTTCCACTCAAGTGCTGGTGTAACCCAAATGAAAAGGTCTATTTCAGACTGTCCAGTGACAGTGCAGATGACTCTGATGCAATGATTACGTTACCTGACACAGAAGTTTGTCCAGTTTGTTGACAAACTGTTTGCTGCATTTGTAAGTGACATTTTCACCATCTTCTGTGGCCAAAAACTGTTCTAATAATTGGGAATCTTTTTTTCTTGTCGCTTCATCAATTAACTTTTCCAACTGTCAACAATGAAACAAAGCCACTGCATTACTGTATGTTTGACTGAATGTGGTTTGCTGCAGGTTTTACACATCCATCTGTGGCAACAAGTCAATGCAAATCCTAAAGTACAGAACATCATACCCAATATATTAATCATGCAAATAACTATGGACTGAGATTTTAAACCTTTGTAACTTTTCTTTGGTTTTGCTTTCCTTGCATTACAACTAAACTCCTAAGTGCTCATTGTGTTAATGCCCCTTCCTTAGTACATTTACTATCTTGCATTTCTAGGTCACCTCAATTATTCTGCCCCTCTGTTCTCTCTAAATCAATTATCAGCACATACCTGCATCCCATTCCTTGCCATTTTTGCCATTCATGGACTCAGCTGTACAAGAAGAGAACAATCATCACTTAGACTTCAAACAGGTTTTGTAAACACATCAGTAATCAGTCAAAATACAGCAAAAACTGCAAACTTTGCCACTGGTATAAATGCTATGTAAGTGCTGTTTCAGAATTTAAACCAGCTGGAGATAGAAAGAAACTTGCTGACATGATAAACAATTGCTTAAAGTAAAAGAGTGGAAGGAATGATCAGTTTCTTTGCTCAGAGGATCCTAAGAGGACTCTTAGTACTTCCCAATGAGAAAAGAGCACTAAGATGATCAACTCCAGGTTATTCGGATCAGGTGAGACCACAGAAGTCCCTAAGGGCCTTGTTATAAAATAGTAGGTGAAATCATTTAGCAAACACAAGACAAATACACAAAGGGAAAAAGCCTGAATTACACACACACAGTGATAGCTCCAAGGTGACAGTCACCAGCAAAAAAAGCACGATCTGGGTGGTAAGAATTTCCTGAAAACATTGGCTTAACACCCAAGAGCAGGCAAAGTACATTAACATGTAAAAAAGCACCAAACTTGTTCATGCTTTGTATGAATTCACCCACATCAACCAACCTGTGTACAGACAACAATGTGCAGTTTTGGTCTCCCCATCCCAGAAATTATATAGACAAGGGTGATTGATACAGACAGGGAATTACTCATGTGGGACAGCAACTGGGCACAGCGGCTAACCATTTCTGTATGGCTAAGACAATGCACACACAGGGCAACTTTAAATTATTCCAACCATAGAATCATAGAATCAACCAGGTTGGAAAAGACTTCAAAGATCATCCAGTCCAACCCTACTGTGGTCACTAGACCATGGCACTAAGTGCCACATCCAGTCTCAGCTTGAAAACCTCCAGTGATGGTGAATCCACCACCTCCCTGGGCAGCACATTCCAATGCCTGAGCACTCTTTCTGGAAAAAATCTCTTCCTAATATCCAACCTAACCCTCCCCTGGCAGAGCTTGAGTCTGTGCCCTCTTGTCCTGCTGCTGGTTGCCTGGGAGAAGAGACCAACCCTCACCTGACAACCAGGATGACTTTTAATTCTTTTCTCCCAGCACACGGACACAGCAGCCTGTGCCGCGGCCTGTGGTGTCTCCTCAGAGCTCCCTTACCTCCCGCCCAGTCGGACGAAGCAGAGGAAGGCACAGCACTCCCTGCCAGGCACCTCCACCCTCAGGGCCGCGGAGCTGAGCCCCGAGCGAGCCCCGGGGCAGGGGGAATCACAGCCCGGGGCGCCGAGCCCTGCCCTGAGCCCTGA